GCTCCTGCCCTCTCTTTTGACATGACAAAGACCAAGCGGATTGCTTGGAGTGGGCTATCAGAAGATGGCAAGAACTTGATCTGACACTTGAACGACCACAGGTGTTGCAGGAGGAAGCTACGACACCAACTCAATCAAATTCACTCGTACGGAGTCGTTCACTATGGGGAGCTTCACCTTGATGGTTATAACATTTTTCGTTGTGATAGATGTGGATGAGGTAGTGGTGTCCTGCTAGCAACGAAATCACAATTGCCATGTGTTTGCTGTAATGACCTGGAGGTTGATGCTGAAATAGTCATCTGTCAGTTAACTACAAGTAAAATGCTGTGCTTACTTGTCACAGTTTTCTGTAGACCACCTAATGCTGGAGAATCTTTCCTGGAAAGTTTTAAGAATTTCGTTTAAAAAGCCTCTGTTACTGGTATAACAGATTTGGTTATTATTGGCGATTTTAACTTTCCCTGTGTTGATTGGTCTAACGGTTCACCAACCACTGCTGATAATTCAACTGAATTATTCTGTGAAATTTTAGATGATTGCTTTGTCATCCAAACGAGTTGTCATATTACTTGCCCTAATTATTCCAAAAGTGCTTCATCATCTGGTAATATACCAGACCTTGTTTTGACAAATAATGATTCATTGATCGAGGAAACTGTAGTGTATCCATACACCTTTGTCTCTGATCATTACCCTGTTTGTTTTACTAACAAGAATAAATTTCACAGGCCTAGAAACCCTATAAGGAAGGTTTACTGCTATGGAAAAGGGGACTTTGATGGTCTAAGAAATACCCTATTCTACGTTTCATGGGACTCACTTATATCCTGTGATGACATGAATTCAAGTGTAGCTAACTTTCAAGATCTTGTATTTGCTGCAGTTGATCGGCATGTCCCATTGATGAAGCTAAGACGTAATTCCAGACCCCCTTGGATTGACAAGGCTGTTTTGAAGTTAATCAAGAAAAAGAAAACTATATAGAGACGGTTGCAGAACCATGTTTCACTAGAGTTGACCTTTGCATTAAATTTCTGGAGGAAGAGACCAAGAAACTGATTTTTCTCCAGTGACTGCAAATATCCAAATGTGAAAGCATTAAAGCAATCCAAAGTATACAGAACAACATTGTGATTTTGCTTTCATGTCACTGGAAAACACACTTTGAAGACGCATACAGAATTCAATGACTTCGACCAAAGCTTGCGATAAAAAATGGTAGTTAAGTGATGGCATGTGAATTTGTCCCTTTACAACAGGGAGTACTTGAACTTCTACTAAACTTGTACCCAAGATGCACGATGGCTGTATGGTTTTGAAAAACTAAAACAAAAAAGTAAATAACAATAAACCCTAGAAATACCTAGTAAAAAAAGGCGCACTAAAAACTTACGTTTCTGCTGTCTGGTAATGCCATAAAAACACGATAAGCCGCAAAAAACTATGTTCCAAAAAATGATTTACCGTATGACATTTCTTTTCATTGAGCACATGGATTTTTTCTTCCCACAACGCATTGTGTCATTGAAATAGTGTCGGATCCAAGGCATTATAACAATGGCATTATCAATATGCAAAATAGTCAATAATCCTTACTGTTTCTGACATGGGTTGGGAGACTGTTGAAAAAAGTTGCAGCTATGTCCTTAAAGGTGCCAGATTCTTTGAATACATGGTAGTTGAGCAACAGAGGATCTCAAGTCTTATGCAGACCTGCTTGAGTGCTAAGTCTAAGGTATTCAGGAAAATTTGTATCATTCAGAGATTTAAAGACAATTTAAGAACAGAAAGTTTGCGTCTCTTAGCAATATCTAGCCAGTTTAACATTTTGCACTCTCTGGAGGTGTCGCAGCTGATATGAGGTTAGTGGATTGAACAATACAGAGGCATAATCGAGCTTGGAAATAACGAGGCACCCTGCCATCTGTTTTCTCACATGATATGGAGCTATATGCTTCAGTTTTCTTAGTAATGCCAGTGTCCTGTAGCAATCAATAATCAATGTTAACCCTTTCACTCCTAAGCCGGCCGGAACTGGCTGCTGAAACAGCCTTTGTTTTGATGCCCTCTCATCTCCCCCATAAGGCTAGAAACTCTAAACAAAAGGTGTCCCATTGTTTTAGACATTTCAGCCAATCATATTACAGCTACTGCGCATAATAAACTCGTGGCCTGAGGGAGCTAGAGAGAGGCGAAAACATAACATTCACAATGTCAACACTGATCAACATGGCGGTATATGACGGAATTAATGATAAAGACTACAGTGAAATAGTTGGACATTGCAGTGAAGAATAAGATGGAAAGGATTGATAATGTTTTAGCTTAAGCTATGGGCACCAAGATATGGTGCAATGCTCGAAATGTCGCGTCGTGAAAAAATTTTCCAGCTTGTCTCCTACACGCACTACCGCTAGGTTTGTAGTTCCTTTACACAGATCCGTAGGTTTGATTTTAAGTTTGTGCAAAACTATTTCAGTTGATTTTTAGGTACATATACAGGCATTTTAAAACTTGCTAATGAAGTGTGCATTAGCCGCAGAATAAAAGAGTTCTTCACTCGAGAGAGTCGTTCAACCGTTTAAAAAATTCAAAAAAATCAACCGCTGATTACGGATTAGCTAGCATGGCCTCTCGTTTTCCACCAACAAGTATTAGCGGAGACGAATTCAGAAATTCGGACGAGGAATTTGATGAAAATGATTCAGACATTGACTTCACAGGCTTTGAGGCCAGGTGGGATGAAGAAAGCGACAGCAGCGAAACAAGCGAGGATTCCACCAAAGCAGAAACTCCATGGACGATCAAACTGTCAAACTTTGAAGTGAGCGAGTTCTCTGGTGAACCTGGATTACGTTTTAACCTCCAGGACGATGCCAAGGAGGACCATTATTTCTTAAGAGTTTTCGGAGAGCAAACAGTTGATCTGATAGTCGAAGAAACTAATCGATATGCCCGCCAGAGTCTAAGGAACAATCCTCCTCGCCTCGCCGCTTTGAAGAATGTTTCCAAAGAGGAATTGAAAGCATACTTTGGCGTCTGCGTGATTATGGGAATAAATCAACTCCTCAGAATTGTAGACTACTGGAAGGACGACCCTTTCATTGGAAATACGGGAATTAAACAGACAATGACAAGAAATCGCTTTAAGAAATTTACCAATCTTTACATTTCACTGACTCGATGTGAACTCCAGCGTGTGGCGAGAACGGCTATGGCCGATTGTACAAGGTCAGAGCGGTTCTAAATGCCGTATTAGAAAACAGCCAGCGATGTTATTCGCCCAACAAACATATTGCCATAGACGAGGGCATGATTGCTTTTAATGGAAGACTTTCGTTTCGACAATATATGCTGGCGAAGCCTACAAAATATGGCATAAAAGTGTGGATGGCCGTGGACTGGAAGAATGGCTGCGTAATAAATTACGATGTTTACCTTGGAAGTGAGGAAGGCGTTTGAAGAATTCACGGACTTGGCTACGTTGTAGTCATGAAAATGATTCAGCCCTACATGAATAAAAATCATCATGTTTATTTTGATAATTTTTTTTCAAGTCCAGTGCTTTTGGAGCACTTAGAGCTGCAACAAACTTATGCTTGTTCCACTGTTCGATGCAACCGTAAAGGCTTGCCGGCTTGTGCGTAAAATAAGCTAACCAGACATGGCC